CTCAGCATAAGAAAGACACGGACCTGTTGGAGTGGGTCCAGAAGAGGGCCACGAAAATGGTCAGGGGGATGGAACACCTCTCCTATGAAGAAAGGCTGAGAAAGTTGGGGTTGTTCAGCCTAGAGAAGAGAAGGCTTCAGGGAGACCTTATTGCAGCCGATGAGTACTTTATAAAAAAAGATGGCGGCAAACTTTTTAGCAGGGCCTGTTGTGACAGGACAAGGGGGAATGGCTTTAAACTAAAGGGAGGTGGATTTAGACTAGATATAAGGAAGAAATGTTTTACGCTGAGGGTGGTGAAGCACTGGCACAGGTTGCCCAGAGAGGCGGTGGATGCCCCATCCCTGGAAACATTCCAGGTCAGGTTGGAGGGGGCTCTGAGCAACCTGATCTAGTTGAAGATGTCCCTGCCCACGGCAGGGGGGTTGGACTAGATGACCCTTAGAGGTCCCTTCCAACCCAAACGATTCTATGATTCTATGAATTTGTCTGTGGACTAATAACTGAGTAAAAGAGGAAACAAAATGGTAAAAAAAAAAAACCAAACAGTTTTTGCAGGTAGTGGTATAGTCCTAGAGTGATCTGTCATGGAGCTTACATTGTTCAATATACAGAAAAATACTCTGGAAAAAAGGAATGGTAGCTGGTAAAGAAATTTTTATATGAAACAATGATTTTAAGACAGTTAAAACTGACATTGAAGTGTTGTAGAAGAATCTCATAGTACTGAGTGAGGTGATAGAATGGAGGTTTATATTCAGCATTAAAGTTGATTACATTGTAAAGTACATTACTTCTGAGTTGGACTTTGTTTAATTATTACTAATTAAGATGTCTCCAAAAGCATAAGCTTATGGCTTGTTCACAGTGGAAAAGGCAAACTGATTGTTAGAAATCCTTCAGAAGATAACAGGAAACAAAATATTGTACCGTTATCATAATGCTATTATATAATTGATACTACCCCATCTTGAGTATGACACACAGTTCTGCACACCCCATTTCAAAACCAGGATGTAGAATTAGGAAAGACGCAGGAAAGAGTATGTAGTAGCAATTAGAAGCATGGAACAACTTGAATTTGAATCTTCAATTTGAAAACAAAACAATTGAGAGCAATATGAAAGATTCTGTAATGAAAACGGTAATGGTAAATGGAAATCTGTCTTTTTGTAATGCAAACACTAGTGAACGCCACATTAAATTAAATTTAAAGCAAACAATACAAAGTGTTTTTCTTTCACATAATGCATAATTAAATTAGCCAACTCATTGCCACAGGATATTGTGAATGCCAGACCAGTATGTTTTATGAAGACAATCAAACAACTTAATAGTATAGAAGTACATGAAAGAGTATTAAACTTGATGGCTTCAATATGGTCTCCATCTCAGGATAGCCACTAGTTACCAGAAGCTAGCAAGGATGTAACGGGGAAAAAAGTCAGTCTGTATCTTATTTTTTCGTGGTGTATTCCTAAATCCTACTTATTATTGGCCTCTGCAGAGTTACAACTTAAGCTGCAATTGACAGTTGATAAGGGAAGGTGGGTGAAATAAAAATAATTCCTATTACAGCAAATGAACACACGTACCCATCCATCCCTTCGCATTCAGCTCCAGATACTCCTCCTCCACTTTATTCTTTTCCCCTGGTGTACCTACTGTGAATAATGCTTATTCCTGTGTTGCTCAGCTTGATCCTCATACTGTTTTCCATGCTTTGTGCCTGTGGAAGTTCAGGGGCAGTTCCTTGTGAATGCTCTGGGGAAAGGGTGGGGAATAGGGAGTAAAAGAACACACTGTTCACACACAGCTTGTTTTGTCATGACAGTAGTATGTTTCTTTTCTGTCCAAAAGCAAGAAAGTACTTCATTTGGAAAAAGCATCTGATTAAATTGGTTTAATTTTAAACTATTAATTGAATAATGTTAACAGTGTACTTGAAAAAAGCATAGACTACTGTGTGGGAGGGGTATTTACCTATTAGGAGGGTTTTGCAGTCTATGTTTAATTCCTTGTGAGCAGTTTAAAACTACTTTGGGTGTAACTACACAAATCGCAGCTACAGATTGATTGCAATGTAGACATACCCTACAATATAGTTTTCTTGACTTCAATCTCAAGGAATGCTGTAAGGTATAGCATAGTATGATGAAAGTTTCCAATAAGTTTCAATTTTGAGAATTATGAGTCTTTTACATTTTAAAGATGTCGAGTTCAGTCATTAAAAGGAAAAATCTATACCAAACTTTGCCTAAGAATGAGAAACTTGCAACATTTATTTAGAAATCTGAGGTTTTATTTGTCTATTTCTCTTTAATAATTATAAACAAAGGAGTGTTTTTAAAAACAAGAAGATGAAAATGAATTCTTGCATCAGTCTTGCTTCTTTTCTGCATTGAATAATGAGTGCTTGTGGATATTAAATGTAACTTTTTATGTTCACAGAAGCTCAAATCAGATTTCTTAAGGCAAAGTTACGTGTTATGCAGGAAGAGCTGGATAGTGTGGTGTGTGAATGCAGGAAAAAGGTAAGAGCTGAGTTTTCTTATCTGTAGAAATGGAGTAGGTTCCCCTTTAACAAATAATCACAACAGAATTCCCTCACTTTTCCTTTTCAAGTATTAAGAACTAAGATTCTTTTTTTTTTTTAATTTCCTAAGAATTTAGAGTCAAGAACAGTAATTTCTGTATAAATGGGATCTTGGGCTAAAAGCTTGTGAAATATACTTAATGAAAAAGAAGTTGAGGCAGGAAAGAACTACAGGGAATGAAGACGTGCCCCAGCTGTAGGGACACTGTGGTGCTGCAGAATGCCCTAGCCATCACTGCTGGGAAGGAGAGCATTTCCAGAGCCTGAGAAAGAGGAGGAGGATACGGTAGCAGTCAAATAAAGATTTTGGTACACAGAGAGAAGAAGAGTACTGCCCAGAGCTGGGTGATGGGAGGAGAGGGATGTTTAGGGCAGAATGAGAAATAAAAAAGCTTGAGAAATTTAGTCAGGTGCTTTGGGTGTCCTTGTTGGAAAAAAGTATGGAAACTGCTGATCTGTGATCCACTTTAAGTGGCATATTGTAAGCGAAACAGAAATCAGGCTTTCTCCATTCTCAAGATTACACTTGCTGCGAAGGACTGTATTTGGAATTACATATTTGGGCAGATCAGGCTGAAGTTAAGGCAGTGTGAATCTACACTGATATTTTACTGTTAGAGTGTACTACAAGTGAGTTTTATGATCTGCACTGTCTGGCAATATGTTTTCAGGTGATGCTCTAACATCTCTTGAACTGTAAAACCTTAAATAGTTGGTGTCTGTCTGCCAGAGGGATCACCTCTTTTTCATGCATTTGTAATTAGGCAAGGCTTTTGAACTAGCTTGCCATTTTACACAATTAGATTATTCTTAGTTGTGGTCCCAACTTCAGAATGCTTTTTTCCACCTATTCCCCAGGCCCAAATGTGATGATGACATTCAGAACATACGGCAAACCACTTATATGTTTTCTCTCAAGCTTTTAATTTAGAGTTAAGGAGCAGGGTGATACTAAATAAGTTCTTTGAGATAGGTACCTGGAGAAAATCTTTAGAAGGAACTACATTTTGATATTTTATATCTGTAGTTTATTTCATTTTTATCAATACAGTTGCTTCTGCATTTCAATACTTTTATGCTGTGATCAGAAGAAAGTTGTTACATTGCATTTTAAAGACATTTTCATTTTCAAATCAAATGCAATTTTGTCAGTAGCTATTGAACTTCATCATTCCATGCCAAAAATACTACAGAATTCAGTTAACTATAGCAGATGACAGAAGACAACCTTGTACTTATTCTTGTCCTGCTCCCATAGCACTCTGTATGTAAATGTATCATTTTTGGGTACTAGTTTCTCTGGTGTGAAAATAACTTTATTACATTCAGAAGGTCATAAAAATTTCATATTGGCAAAGCCTTGAGGTAGATGCTGGGTTTTGTTCCAATTCACAGTCCAATTATTATAAGGAATGAGTAAATCTGTTTTAGATATAAAGAAGTGGGAGTTCCTAAGGTGCATGCGGTCACATGAAAGTTAGGGTAAAGCACATACATTTCCCAGGTGAGAAGCATGTATTCCTAGGGGCTGAGGGGACAGGAGAGAAAGACTTGTTTTCATAGAAACTCCCATTTCTGTATGTGCCTTGATTTCTTAAAGAAATGAAGGGCATAATGTATCTCTGAAATAATCTACATTAGTATTCACTTATAATGTTTACAAGGTTATAAAAGAAAAATGCCTTGAAATTATAATGCCTAGTGTGGGATGTAATTGCCAGTAGGTCATGAAGCTAATACTGGATTCACTTGATGTTAAGAGAATCTTGAATTTGAATACTTGATGTATCCTGGATCATTAGCTTGCTTCTCAGTCAAAACCAGATAATCTCCTAAAACATAATGGATTGATTTATCGCTAATTAGTCTCTTCTTTTTCCCCAAATTTTTCCTAATGTGCACATTTAGCTATTCTCACAAAAATGTCACAAAATATCTATGTGCCACTGTTATTCATATTATTCTATAACATTTTGATAGTTCTCAAAACCTTTGAACTATGAGAAATTAAATGTTTTACATACTGCTATAAGACAGTTCCAAGTAAAAGACCGCAGAAAATTAAATGAGAAAAGTGTTAGCATTTTTTGAGGTGTTTTCCTGGTAAATTGGTGTTTAGTTTTCTTAGTTTGTCTTAGTTGTTTCCTTTCTTAAAATTGTTGTGAAAGCCATCATGAAGGATCTAAACATTTAAAAATAACATAATTTTTAAAAGTTGGTACCTCCATATCTACAGTATGTGTATTTTTACTGCCTTTTATTTACAAAACATTACTATTGCATTATCCTACTGCTTCCTTGCAATAATGTAGCTGGGTTTTTTTGCTGATTACTGTCAAACAGGATGATGAAAATCAGAATTTAAAATCTCGGCTTAAAGATACTGAAGAAGAAAACACCAGACTGCAACGAACAATCAGTATGCAACATTCTCAGACTGAAAAGTACAAAATGTTGTCACAAGAAGCAATCAAAAAAAGTGGAGGGTTACAACAAGAAGTCATTGCGCTAGAAAAGGTATTGCAGATATTAGTCTTATTTATCTCATGAAAGGGAAGAAAACGCATCAAATCACCCTCTATACCCTAATTTGATAGATTCATATCCAGTGATCCCATTAGCATTTCAATCTCTGATAATAGTTTTAGAAATTGTATTTTTAAATGGTCTAATAACTTTTTTAAAGGAAGAAATAATATATTACGCTAATTGATTTTCTTCTGCTTCTGCAGTCATATATTTCTGTGTTTTAAAATTAAATTCTTCTATAAAAGGCCTGCAAGAGACAAAACAACCTTTTCAGAAACTGCTGTCAAATTCAAAGGCATCTTGAAAAATACAGGGAAATTTTATTTTTCTGGTTTTAATTATCATTGTTAAAAATTACTTCTGGTAATAAGAGTTTTATTGTAAACTGTAGAACCTCGTGAACATTTTGGAAAAAACCACCTGCAGCTTATATTAGTATCTTCTGCAGGTAGAGGAAAAGATGTTCTTGAAAATGGACTGTTTGAAAACCAGCCGCTCCAATTTGGATGAATCAAAATTAACCTGGCTCCTGCTGTAGGCCACATATGCAAAATTGTATACATGCCTAGTTGTAGCAGATGGCCTGCATACACAGCTTTGTTTGTTTGGAACTTAATCTAAGAGCAGCATGTGTTTTTCTTTAATTACTCAGAGCTAGAGAGGTTGACTTCAAAATCATGTAATACATATAGTATTGTGTAGTACATGTAATATAACCAGGAGAATGTTTCACTTAAAAATTTGGGGAAAACAGAACACAACTCAGCCTAACGAAGTCTCATTATACTTCCATTAAATCATACTATGCATTTGTTTAGGCATGCTTTCATCTTAATGTTATGTAGTTCTGGTATTTAAAAACTAAAATGTTCTAAGTTTGTGTGTTCTTTTTGTGCAGATACGTGGAGGTTTTAAGTTCCCTTAAATAAGTACCCTGATTGTTGATTCTATCAGGAAAAATGTTCAATAGTAGTACTCATACTACTCATGGGCTCACAGTAAATTGGGCTAAGAGACTTACAGGGTCATTCAGTCCATTCTTTGAAACCAAGACAGGATAGATTATACCCAAACCATCTTGGACATAAGTTTGTTTAACGTGTACTTAAAGCCTTCTGTGATGGCAATTTCCATAATTTCCTTAGACAGTCTGTGCTGGTTCTTGTACACAGTCACAGTTAGAAAGTTTATCGCGGTATGTAGATGTCTGTTGTGATGAAAAGTTTATTCACTTCTGCTGTACGGCTACCATATCCAAAGTCTGGTCGCTTTCCTCATTTGTCTTTGCTCCGGATTTACCATCCTCAGTTGCTTCAATTATTCCTAATAGGTTGCGTTTTCTAGAATTTCTCAAGGTTACTGATCAGACATGATCATGAGACATAGTGGTAGTTCTTTAAAATACTGAGAAGGCAAAAAAGGCAGGTATATGTAATGAATGGCTCTCTGTTAATTCAGGAGTTATTTTACATATTTTTTCTGATATAAAAAAATTATCTAACCGCCAAAAGCATGCATTTAGAAATAATTTTGCAGTAACTGCTTAAATCTCCTATGGACTTAGCAATCTGAAAACTGTTTTATTCTTTAGGTATGAAGTATTATTCAACACTATATAATTAATGTAGTTGTAGCTGAATTCTAGACATGTTTAAAAACAGTTTCCTGTGAACATGGCACTGAATTTGTACTGCTGTGCCGCCAAACTCTCAAGACTCATACTTTCAGTCCAGCGAAACTTTTCTGTATAGTTGAGATAGCACAAATTTAACATCTGATTTTTGGGCTTTTATTACTTTTGTTGTGATTTCTGTTGCAACATAAATAATAGAAGACTTACGTCATGATACGTGCCTTCCCAAGCTTCCTTAGATTATCAACAATTTATGCAATTTCATTAATCCCCCAGCTACTTTTTTTGTATGTGCCTAGGCAAAGATTCTCACCTAGTTTTCACAATTTGCTTGAAACATGGTAATTAGTTTGTTATTTTTACATTTCATTCTTTTGGTGTTTGGGCTCTGTGAACATTTCTGCTGGAACACCCACCTCAGACAGCAGCTAAATTCTGATGCTCCCCTAAACTTCAATCTTCTTTCCAGCTTTCCTCTTTTTTTCCCATCTAGTTAATCAAATAATGATACCACCTCTCCTGTCTTTTTTCACCACCTGTCTACAAGAACATTCCTTCCTCTGTGTTCTCTCTCACTTGTTAATTCAGTCTAGCTAATAATGTTGGATAAAGGTCAAGGAAACACCAAAGTTGTGCTCTTAGTCCTTTTAAGGCTTTGTGCAGGGATTTTATAATTTGCCTTGAAGAAGGGCTTGATGTTAAGCAAACATTCTCTCTCAAGTGTTTTTGGGGGTGGACAGGAGTTGCTGAGCTTTCTAAAGATGGAAGTGCTGTGTATGCTTGCTACTGGGAGGAAAGAAAGCCTGCTGGGAGGGTTACTCCTAGACAAGCTCCCTGGTGTCACACCCCCTACTGACAATCAAGTGCCTCAGCTACTCCAGAACAGTGGAGAACATCCAGAGATTGAAATGGGATGCAGTTTTAGAACATAGTTTTTTCCCCTCTTAGAGAAGCATTATATGAGAAAATGAATCCAGCTTTTATTTAAAGTATTGAAGAATTGGCAGAAACCTTGCGTACTTACCAAGTAAAATACTTATTTCAGGCAGTTTTAAGATGAAAAACTTGAAGTTGAATATATTTAACAATATACCCTCACTGGATGACTTGCAAGAAATCCTTGATAAGGTATTAGGTATGACAGTAAATGTCAAAAAGCCCTAAAAGAATTATTAGAATTCTTCCATTAAGTGATACGATTAGCTGATACATAATTTACATTGCATGCAGACTAATTTTTTTGTCATTAAATGCTTGAAAGGCTATATTCCAAAGCTTTTCATATTAATGCAGAATGAAATACATAGCACGAAAGATTTAGTTGACCCCATTCGCAGCTCCATCATTTTGATACAAGACAAAGAGGTTTGCATGCTGTGCAGCTTGTTTTCTTTGGAAACATGGGGGTGAGTTTCCAGCAAACAAATTTACATTCCCTGATGATGCACGTGCACGTGTCCCAGGGAGGAGCTCTGCTGCCCTGCTAGCCAGGCTTTTACCCATCTTTTTTTAATCAATCAGGTGGACAGGTTAGCAACAAAATAAAAATGTTGAAGCAACATCTGTTTTTGTGAACTCTTGAAGGAGGCACATTCACCAATAGAATTTTGGAGGATTAGCGAGATGCATCTTACTCTCCTGTTTTCTTCATCCATTTTGGAAAAGATTCAAAGCTTCCCAGAAATACGTGTTCCAGTCATAACTTTACCATAATGTCTGTGCTGCATACACTTGTCAATTAGTATGTATTTCTTGGATAAGTGATGTGGAAATTAGAAGTAACCACCACAAGAGCTGGTGTGGAATTGAGAAAATAGAGCAATTACTCGGAAATAACGCAGCCTGAGGGTAAAAGGTTAACAACAAGCCCCCTCTCTACCCTGATTTGGTTAAAAGAATCTTTCTGTGCCTATGACTAAAACTTAGACAGTCTTAAAAAAAAAAAGTCTATTTCTTTTTCACAAATGACAAGATGTGCTCTTTCTGCCAGAACTGTTTATTTCTTCTACTTTGACTTACCTATATTCCCTGATCTTTAATCTCATTATTCTGTTCCTCAACTTGGTCTCTTTTTCTCATTTCCCCACTTACAGCACTATGAAATACTATCATCAGAGATAAAAGGGAACTGTTTTGATTGTTGCCATAAACACTTGATGAACTATTCTCTGCTAGATGAAATAGTACCCTCAGCCATCTTCAGTAGGCTGCTTTAACTTTTTGTTGGTAATTGCCTGTAGCAATCTCTGGGGAAAAGAGGTAAAAAGAACAGGTGGGAAGAAGCAGCTGGGAATACCTGCCACCGTTCCAAAATCTGCCACAGAGTGAACATACCGTCATGTTTTTCTCTTTTTCTGACTGAGCATACAAGGGTTTTCAGTCAATCCTGTGGTCTTACATGATCAGCTCCACAATTATTCTAAGAGAAGTTTAAAACAAAGATGAGAAAGATCCCTTTCCAAGATTTCAAAGGAGAAGGGGATGTTTTAATGGTGGAATTAATGGTCTTTGAGACAGATGCTATCTGCAGGCCAAAGAAGTCCACAGACTCTTAAGTTTTCAAGGGTGAGCCTTGCTGTAAATGTGTTGTCTATATGGGATTCAATAAAATACCATTATTCATAAAGTTTGTTTTTATCCTTTGCTTCTTAAATAGGAATTGGAGAATCTAAAGCGTGTACAAAAGCAGGCCGCAAGCAGTCAGAGTGCAACAGAGGTTCGCTTAAACAGGGCCCTGGAAGAAGCAGAAAGGTACAAAGTGGAGCTGAATACACTGAAGCAAAGTAACAAGGTACAGTGGCTTCGGGAAGCAAGTTCCAATCTGTAAGCACTCAGTAATGCTAGAATGAGACAAAAGGCTTAATCAGCTTTGGAAGTATTGGGTCTCTTACAGACAGTCCCAAAATTAACTTAGAGCAAGTCACTAAAGGGCTTGATAAGTTATCTCGGATGACACTACTGCAACCTATGCAGGAGGAAGAAATGTACAGAATAAAGTTATAGCCTTTCTGATTTTCCGTATTTGTGTGAAAATTAGATGTGTTTAGAAAAAGGGAGAAGTACACATACACACCTAATACATACACAGGCAAACCATGGCTATTATCTTTGAGATTTTCTTTTCTTAAGTTTTGATGTGGGAATATTTTGATTAATTCCATTTCTTTTCAGAAATCTCATGTGTGGCTACCGTTTGTCATTTTGTTATGTAATGCCAAGTTTTATTGATTAAAGCACCACTTTTGTAAGTAATACATTTCTCCTTTTCTTCCCATGGTAGGACGTAGCTAACCAAGAACTCAAAACAATTGAAGAATTAAAAACAGAAAACAAGAAACTGCAGAAACAAAAAGGAGAGCTAATGACAGGTTTTAAAAAGCAATTGAAGTTAATTGATATTTTAAAGAGACAAAAGGTAAGGACTAGAGTACTGTTATATTTCAGTTAACAACCTCTAGCTAAATGCATCTGTTGTCACCTAAGGTAATCATGTAAACCAGAGCCCCAAGACTGGGAAGTTTCAATGCAAGGGAGCAGCAGCCTCACTTTTATTAGTGCATATTGCTAACATTTTGCTTTATAGCAAAGGCTGACCTTCTTTTGAATTGACTCCATTCCTAACTTGGAACACATCCTGTCAGGGTGAAGGATTACTACTAACAAGCTTTAGGACCGAGAGTATCTATTTGTTCAAGAATAAATACTGTTCAGGTAATAACAGCAACTCCCTTCGGTGCTGTGTCAGTAGAATCCATTTTAGCATGTGAGTTTTGGTTTGTTTTTTTTTTTTTTACTTTTTTCCCTGCAGCATATTACTTGTCATATCAGCGGCTGCAACAGCGTGCCCTCTCAGGAGTGAGCCATTACATTTCAGACCTACATTCTTCCTGGGTTCTCAAAGTGTGTCCTTCTCTATTAACATATTTTCTTTTTATTTGTATTCTGAGGTGTTCTATACATGTATAATTCTGCCCAGGTGCAGATCTCCTTGTGTGTCAGGCAAAAAAGGGAGGAGAAAAAAAAAAAAGAGAGAATACTTATCCTAGCTGTGAATTTACTAGATTGAAGGAGGGGAGTTGATCTAAGTATTTAAAACTATTTAAAAGATGTGTAGATGAGGCTATTAGGGACATGGTTTAGTGGGCATGGTGGTGTTGGTTGACGGTTGGACTCGATGATCTTAGAGGTCTTTTCCAACCTTAATGATTCTATGATCTCCATCCTTTTGTAATTCCTGGAATATCATGCATACTTTGAGTCACACACAATGTAGTAACATCTGTATGGCCGTATGGGTGTTCCCATCCACAGTGCACTTACAGCTACCCTTATTTTTAAAGTTGTTTGATTCTACATTCATTTCGTATCTCCCTCCATTCCTCTCCCTCAGGGCATAAAGGGGAGGGCAGCGGCTACTGCCTTTTAGTTTCTTCAGTAGCCGAAGCTGAAATGGAATAGAGGTTAGATAGTAGAATACTTGCTGGCAATTCATGCTGAACAATTAGCGATACAGCTTTCATAGAAAGGTGGTGCAGCGAAAAGTGGATTAATACTTCTGATAGAATATAGCTAAAAATGTATTTAACTATCATATTTGATAAAGTTGTACTGATGTCCCAAAAAGGAGGGCTGTTTTACTTGGAAGGAGAAACTTTGGACACTGCAGAGTGGGTAAACACCTTATGTTTTTCAAAATATATTTTCAGCATAGACCTGTCAAATGAGCTTTCATGGTACAAATTGAAAGAACCCGTGAGTTTACATGAAAGGAAGTTAAAGTGAGAGGAGTGTATACTAAGAGATGTCGCCCAAATTAAACGACTTTCCGCTTACTGATGCATTTAGGTCTTATAGTTCCATCACACCTTTCACTTACTAAATACTTGGGATTGCGTGCTATCATTTGTATCAGTTTTCCTTCTGAGGCTGCGCAAGACATATGCAGAGCTATAGGCTTCACAATTGTCTAGATATGATCTTAATATCATAGAGTGGTTCACCTCTGATTGCTTACTCCACCGCATCTAATGTGATTCATTTTGAGATGGAGTTAATGCGATTCTTTCTGTGCTCTCAAACCAAAGCTGTAGGAGAGCTAAAGCAAGCAATGTATGGTGACTTGTTGAGCAGAAGCACCTTAGAAGGGCCAGCCTTTGAGATAAGAAAGTAAAGCATTTGATTTACCCTTTGAGCACTGGAGTGATCACCAGACATTTTGTAAACACTCTTGAAGCTGTTGAGCCTCCATAGAGAAAGAATAGTTCTGTATGAAGTGGCAAGTTCATGTAACAAAATACACATACTTACCCTAAGAATTGGGAATTGCAATATGGAAATACACCCTTGAATCTGGAATATCTCTCCAACTCAGGACAAAGGAGGATAGGTAATTGGAATAAGAGGAACTAGGGCTGCTCGTGTGTTTCCAGCAGAAGAGAGTTTTTCTGGCAGTAACAGGATGCAGAGAAGATCTTGGGGATTCATCTAACAGAAATAGTGCTAGTTTAGCCTTTGGCTGGCCCTTCTAGTTCTTCAAGTTTATTTTGAGAATGAAAAAACTACAGCATTCACTCAAAATATACTCTATACATGAGGTAGCTCATTGTCCTCTGGAACATGAATTCACTGAAGTGGGTGTCAAAGAGCAGTATTTCTGTTTGACTGTGAACCAAAACCATAGTCTCAGATAAACTTCACAAAACTTCATTAAATATATTTTTAAAAAATTATGACTACTGTATCAGAACTGCAGATAGTAGAGGAAGACCTTTTCTTATAAAAAATGTTATTTACTCACAGAAGAAGAATGCTGTTAGTTGTATTTTCAGAACAGACTATGATTGGAAGAACCTGAAAGAGAATGGTGCTAACTCTGCCTTTTATAACTTCTGGAAGAAGGCACAGGGGAAGGGCAGCTAAAGCTCACATGTGCTCAATATATGTAATCACCTGAAGAACTTAGAAGTCTGCTTCTCACAAGCCTTTTGTTGAAAGAATGAGGAAAACCTAATTTGGGCCATTTGTGTAGTATTGTGTGGCAGATTCACGTGCATGTAGCAGGTACAGCAAGCCTGAAGGTGAGAATATGCTACCACATGAAGAACGATAAGAGGAAAAAAATCCCCAAAAGGTATTAAATATCAGTAGTAGGATGAGTTGCAGCTGGCAGCAAGTAGTTGCTGGTGTTCCAGTTGGTCTCTTCAGACCATTCTCTGCTTGCCTTGAGAGAGAGAATTTAATAGAAAATCTTAGCTTTAAAAGGGATTAAGGGAAGTTAGTCTGAGCTTTACAGAGCTGGAGGGTGTTACACTGCCTCTGGGAACTGTGATATGCTTTGTTGTTGTTTTGAACTGACAATAGGCCTAAATATTAAAAAAAAAACCAACACAACAGACTCCTTGTAGACATGAATTGTTTCCTGTTCTTTGAAACGTAACCATTTTATTAAAATTTGCAGTAAAAACTATTTAGCTGGGACACTTTCCACTTTGAATGATGATAGGTAAAGAGATTATACTCTGGTGTGGGGATGAGGATGTGTGGCACAGCTGTGACCTTTGCTGTGACATCAGCTGGAACGCAGGGAGCTTTCAGGGCTTTCCGGCTGCTGAGCCTTTTTGATTGGTAGTTCTCTGCAAATACACTGACCATTTAGTACTTGTTTTCTCATCAAACCTTGATGACCCTGATGACATTTTTCCAAGCAATTGCATTATTTGAACAGAAAATAGCTTTGTTATACATTAAAAAGTTCTGTTTGTTCCTTTCAGTGTTCCATTTAAAGTAATGTGCTATATCATACATAGTGGAAATACAAATTCAGACTACTGTATGATTTTTAAACATATACATATGTACATGTGGGGGTCCGTGTGTATATGTGCCATAATGGACCATAGATGTGTGGTGTGATACATTGCAACACAGCTACCAGTGGTTAGCTCCAGGTATTTCTCATTAAGGTGTAATACAGTTACTCTTTGTTTTATGCTGATTGTTAATTTTTAATGGTGTTATATTATTTTGTTAAAATCCTCATTTAACATTAAATCACGCATATTAGAGGCGCTAGCACACTGAATCTTAATGATGTATTGGATTTGTAATAGCTGTATATTGATCAGCTTGAAAGAATGCATACCAGTTTTCTTATACATGTTCTTCAGAGGTTACAAGAGTTGTCAGATTTTCAGTAATTTCCCTGTCTCATTAAAACTGAGATTTTTTTAAAGCAATATAAGCAACTAAGAAAAGCTATTGGTCCTGTTTTACTAGAGCTGAAGTTGCAATGTTTAGCATAAAATTTATCACATAATCCCTACACTATAAATTTTTGCAGAAAAAGATGAATAGCAGCTTCAGCTTCATCCATCAAAACCATAGTATGAAAAAACAGAATGATAGATTTGAAGTCCCTTTCAGCTATCCCAATTATACAGGATTTTGTATTGGTCATTCACACTATTTTACCTTCTGCTCCTAATTTTTTATTTTTTATTTTTTTAAGATGCACATCGAAGCTGCTAAAATGCTTTCTTTTACTGAAGAGGAATTCGTGAAAGCTCTTGAGTGGGGAAATTATTGATTCCATTAAAAAAAAATCTTCTGTTTGAAATACAGGTCAGATGGTACATTATTTTGGCACTGTATATGAATGCTTGTTAATAGTTAATAACTGTATATCCCAGTGAATTGATTTGTTGATTTTACTTACATTTAAATCATTTAACTTTTATAAGCCTGATAGCTTGTGTTGTAATACCATATGAAATACAAATTTCTACTGAAGTTTCAGGCCAAACTGTCCATTCTGTAATGAGTGGAGAAGCACAGAGCGTGCAAGGAATATTCCAACAAGTGAACTTTGTTACCAGTTAGTTTGCTCTGTTTTAGTATTTAAAACTACACCTTATCTAAGGTAATATTCAGTCCAAAGAAGTCAGGGTTTAGTCTCAGAAAACTCCTTGTTGCAACAGAAATAAATCAACCAGTGATCCAGTTGAGAAGAAAATGTCATGTCCTTTTTGAAACACGTGGTTGGAAAATCGGCCTTGTCTGTTCTCTGTTACAGATCTCCCCTCAAAGCTAGTTGGTCTGGCATCTAATTTAAGCACCAACAGCTCTTTCATAGAAATGATCATAACTTGTTTTAGCTATAACATCTTACACCCTTGGCTGGCAAAAAAAATACATGAGACTTGCCCCCCACTATCCAGATAGACTCCACAATCTGATACAGTTGTATTGTTTAAAATCGCTACTTTAGTCAAGGTGAAAATATTAAATCTTTCCCTGGCCATCAGCTGCTGGTTTGGGATACAGTCAGAAGCGATGGCTCCATGTTCACAGGTGCTCTACAAGCATTACATCCTTACAGATTTTATTATGTCATCATTATAATCAAGAACTAGATAAAAGTTTGAGTGTAGATGAGCTGAGCGTATCATCTGTATGTTAATGAACAGGAGCAATAAAAACCTGTGCTGCTTGCATGAACCTCTGTCAAACCTCAGCTATTTCAATGGATTCCTCCTTTGGAGTAATTGAATAGGAACACAGCGCATAAACAGTAAGTTTATGCACTGAAAGAAAGGTGTAAACAGTGATTCTGACCTCAAAATGGCAAAATGTCTCTGCTTAGATCCTACTAGCAAAGTAACATGAACTAACAGTGAAACAAGTAACTCAGACCTACCCCTTTGAGATGAGACAAACTACATTTACATTAGTATTTTAATAGTGTAATGCCAAGGCAGATAGATCTTTAAATTACAACCAGAAATAGTGCATTAACAGAATCTTATAGTCCATACTGAAATACACGTGTGAATTTACCCTAGCTTAGGTTTCTGCAGAGTTGCTGGAGAAAACATTTTTAACACTGCTTCATCACTAACTGAGAGTAATTGAGAAATCCGTAACAGTTTATTGATGAAAAATGCAAGTACAACATACACTTAAATAAAACTAGCTGCTCATCAGTTTAGAACTCCAGTCTTAAAATGGAGACTTTTTACGATACTAAAAAGGAGTTCCTCACTGTTAACAGCAAATGGAAATTTTCATTAGAAATCAGATGACTCCTAGTGGCAAACCAGGAGATGAGACAGGGGAAATTTAAGCTCTCTTCTGAAAATGTATTACCTCTTCTCTTCTGATAAGCCAATCTAAATTCCTCTCCAAGCATGTTAATGTCATCTTCATCTTTGAGTATTCCCTGCAGTAAGGGGAAAGAAACACATGTCAGAAGGTAAAAACAAAGTGGAGAGATTGTTATGGATCTCTGAAATTTTTAATGGAAGTGAATGTAATAGCTTGTATCCACAGTACCGGTGTTACCCTTAAAACAAACCACCCTGAAAACCATCACAAAACTTCAATAGATGAGTTTCAAATTGGTGTACTTGGTGATAACCTAGAACCGCCTCTTTTGTTCTTCACGCAAATGATTATGAGAACCCATAAGGATTCCAACATGAGCACTATACAAGACACAACATTTATCTACGGTCTCTTTCTAATAAAAGTGATTATAGCCAGCACAGCATAGGTGCAGGTTTAGTAAAATCAAGCAACTGCACTGAAAAGAGGGACCGGCTGGGGTGGGGCTCTATCTCCTCCTTTAGTTGTGTTGAAATTAGTCCATGCAAATAAATTATTTTGGAAATCAACTGATACTGAACAACTTAATCAGAAACTACGTTTTGAGGAAGGGAAGCAGGGGAACCCAGAAATCTAAATCTCTAACTGAATCTAAGTTAATTTTAGGGCTAAAAATGTGTACGACCCACAGAACATACCTTGCAGCATTTAGAAAAAAATAAATTACAAATTGCATTTACACTGGAGACTTTAGAATTAGGTAGCTGTCGTGGTTTAACCTCAGTCGGCAACTGAGTACCAACACAGCCGCTCGTTCACTCCTCCCCCCGCCCCCGGTGGGATGGGGGAGAGCATTGAAAGGGTAGAAGCGAGAAAAACACATGGGTTGAGATAAAAGCAGTTTAATAATTGAAATATAATAACAACAACAATAATATAATAATAATACGCAAAGCAAGTGATGCACAATGCAGTTGCTCACCACCCGCCAACCGATGCCCAGCCAGTCCCTGAGCAGCGGCCCTCCCCGGCCAGCTTTCCCCAGTGTACGTACTGAGCGTGACGTCCCATGGTATGGAATGTTTCTTTGGCCAGTTGGGGTCAGCTGTCCTGGCTGTGCCCCCTCCCGGCTTCTTGTGCCCCTCCAGCCTGCTCAGTCGGTAGAGCATGGGAAGCTGAGAAGTCCTTGACTAGTGTAAGCACTGCTCAGCAACAACTGAAACATTGGTGTGTTATTGACTTTGTTCTCCTCCTAAATCCAAAACACAGCACTGTACCAGCTACTAGGAAGGAAATTAACTCTATCCCTGCCGAAACCAGGACAGCAGCACTTTTCTATTTAACCATTTTGAGTGAAGTAACATGATGTATGACCGCATGATTCAGACACAGCGTTGAAGCAGAGAAAAGAACAAAGTAGAACATCAATACCATGGAACAGGTATGATCCGTGGACACTCTGAAATAGCTAAGACTTCCTACAACAGTAAATTCAAACTAGAAAACTATCTAAAAATATTACCAATTGGAGTTATCCTTTAATTAAATCTACATTAGAAAATTACTCACTCCAAATTTTACAAATTCATGCACCAAATTAGCCTATTAATATTTGAATAAAAATTATACTCTGCTATATTTACAATGTTTTCCAGTATTGCAGAAAAGAATTTCTTTAAATAGTTGGATAACTCCCTACTGTAAAGCAGCTCTCTGTTCATTTGTGTACCATCAGGTGATCTTTCTGATTATGAAGTATAATACAAAATAAATTGTAGTTTATTCTTATTACAATAATTGTTTCCATCTTTTTAACTTTTAAAAACACAAGGATGAACAGAGTGAGCTTTGAAATGCTTCTGTTAGCACTGCAGTTTATTGCACTATAACAGAGACCAGGCCTTGTTTCCATCGTAACAGAAGACTTAGAAGACAGGCAACAGAGTAAGAAATTCCTCCCAAAACCCCAACTGACAAATATGGTGGAAATGGGGCTTCGATATGGTGGACCCCTTTCTAGCTACAAAAGCCCCACTTTAGAACTTACATTCCATATTCCAAAAACTGGATGTGCAAAGTGCTGTGGAAGCTTTCAGCAAGTTCTGTACAAGGCATCAATATTGCAGTAGAGCCCAAAGCCCCTCATACAGAAAGAATATTTTTGTAAACTGCTTCCCAACTCAAAAAAAAAAAGGAAAAAGGGGGGGGGGGGGGGGGGGGGGGAAGGAGGGAGGAAAGGGAGAAAAAAGGAAAAGGTTAGCACAGGAGAGCTGACACAATAAGGACACCCACTGACTTCAGGAACTTAACAGTTCTGCAACTTCAACTATCTCAAGAGAACAGTGATTTACAGGACAAACATTTAAAACATTTAAAATACAATTCACTTACTTGAGGAAGATAACCCGATAATTTAGATGCGTACTCTTTCAGAAGTTTCTGTCTCTCCTCTTCAACGATTGCACAGATGTTTTCTTGTCTCCTCTAACTGTCTTCAAGTTCATGCTCCTACAATAAACAAGCAAGTTTTTGTAACTGTTCAGTTTCAGCTCTGTGAACATTTGTTTCCACCAATATCCACCATAGTATGAAGAGAAAACATCTGTTTTCTGAAGGCTTCTTCCTCTTCTTGCATAGTTTGTCATGCTACCTTCTTGAAAGCAAATTGCTCTTCATATGTTTGCCTTAAGTCTAGGTGATGCCTTATTCTCTTTTCAATTTCTGCCTATAAAGGAAATTTAATAAAGTGCTGTATTACTGAACATACTTTGGAAAATTTTGATCATCATCAGCCAATCTACTCGATTTATCTTGGAATAAATTTACTGTAGCTGTTACCTTCAAGCATAAATAACTAGAGCAAGCACTCCATATCTGACAGTGCTCTCCAGTATTAACCAGTTTGGCAAATGTCTCAAGATTCTCAAAATTAAGTCCAAAACAAAAGGAGATTTTTTTTTTTCACTAGCATGAAGTGAAGCAACAAGACAGTCATACTGAACAACTCTCTAAAAATAACAGTATTACGTATCTCAGCCTGTGTTACATTTTGTTTGTCACCCGTAGCAAGATAAGACTGAGTGTGGGCGGGCCCGTAGGAAAAAGCAAATGGATATACAAAAAGCAAGCAGTTAATTAACCTACTTCGCTTAAACCTGAACTTGAAAATTACTGGCGTTCTCCTTCACAAGATAAATGAATATATAAAGGGGACAATAAGGGTATTCAAAACCTTCAGTTGTCTTTCTGGTTGAAATAAAAACATAAATACATTAGAGACGGCAAAGGAAACTCAAAGGACAGAATTTTCTCTCCAAAAACTAAGTTAATATACAAACTGCTTGTCTGACTAAGAACATTTAGGAAATAGTGTTGGAAATAGACACTTTGTGCCAGAACAGAATTGAAAACAATTCAAATTCATTTAATACACCTAAAACCATGTCAGAATTAAGCTTTTTGCTTTGAGACAGCTCACAGACCAAAATGGGCTCTAGGAAGTCCCTCAAAAACATCCCAAAGTCACAAACACCACCACAGACCTAGCAAATGCAAAGCGTGAAAAAAAAAAACCCAACCCAAACCAGTCCATGAACAGCCCTGCCAGCATTGTTAGAGGAAAAGTTGTGGCAATGGGAGTTACTTGGCCTCTGAAGAGCATCCTCAGATGCAGAAGGAATTGCATGTGGCATATACTCTCACTAAATGTTCTTTAAGCATCACAACTCCAGGGACAATTTCCAAAGACTGAAGGAGCGCGGCTCCATCACAAAGACACCAGGAGAAGTGAAGGGACGGAGGAAGACTATGTAAAATACTGCCCCATACATTCACTTTACTACTTATTTTCTAGATCAGCGATTGAAAATGGTTTCATTTTCT